TATTTTCCCTATGTAAGCAGGCCCATCCAATCCCTTTTAGCTATCAGAAAATGTTCTAGCAGTTACAGGACAATGGATCTTCACATATTTTATGAATCACAGTTCACAGAAAATTAATTTAGAATAACTTGCAAAGTTGTACGCATGCACACACACACAGAAGGTTTTCATTCATTTTCAAATTCACTTTCCCTCCTAACCCGAACCTAGCTGCACTGCTTCCAGGATTAGAACAGCAGCACTCCGAAGGATTTCAGAGGTTGCTACACTTCGAGCTTTGCGTTTTCTCAGCCTGTTGTCCAAAGAACTTAGAATTTCATTGACCACTCCTAAAGCAGTCTGAGAAAAAGTAACTAAGAAAGAATCATTCATTTCCCCACAAACTTCTATCTGGGTATCTTATGACACGTTGTCTCAATACGTATTTCTATACCTCTACAGCTATACAAGAGGACGATTATGCATATATCCGATTTTCATACTCAGAAGGGGTGAATTTCCCAATCTAGCCTCATCTACAGAAACAAAACCTTCCAGGACCAAAACACAAGCTATTGGTATAAGCACTCTGGGAGGTCAGTTAGTTTATAAAACAAAGACTGGGCAGGATAGGTACCTGAGGCTGGCAATCCTGTCTGATCATCTTAGCATAACTCATGTTGAATACTAGACAAAATAAACAATCTGTTTCTAAAATGGTGTAAAACGCACACAGCAATACCATCTGGGATCAGATCGTAGGTGAGGCTGGAAACGGTGCCAGGGAGACAATAAGCGCTTTGCACTCTGAATTCATTTTGAACCGGTGCTCTGGTCACCTGCTAAGAGGTAATAAGGCCACGTTTGGACTAAACGAAAACTGGGGGGGTTGTGTGATTGGGAGGGGGGAAACAGGCTGAAAGATGCAGTCTCCCCTCTTATGACTTTTGACGCCTCAAAAGATTTCTCAGGTAAAACTGAATGTGTTTTCCCATACGACTTTGGCTGTACGCACACAGACTGAGTCGCTTCCTTTTCCACACTCTTCTCAGCAGCTGGGAATGATGGCAATGCCGTTATAGCTTAACGAGAGCATTCCCCACTATGTTCCTCTATAATAAGTGCTATAGGGCTGAAGCCTTTCAGCAGGCATCTGATTTACAGGCAGAGACATAAGAACACCTCCACAAAGAAAGCCAACCCTTACAGCAGCGGTAGGGTTATCGCAGCTGTCACCCAAATCAGCTCCTGAGAGGGGTGTAGGCTGCATGTGATTGGGATCACCCGTCTTGGTATTTTCTCTTTCCTTTGCCGTGCCAGCCAGGGATGGCCTGCATTCCCACGGCATCCTCTCTGTGCACTTTCCCACTGTACACAGTCTATATTGGTCACCCAGAAGTAGACATACATCCTAAGTTACTGGACTGTGCTGTTTCCATCTGGTTGCAGTTCCCTTGGAAATCCCAACTGTCTGGCCCTGTGCAGTTGTTGAAACTGGATCTTTCAATTAGAAGGCGCTTAAGGATTTGGGGAGAACTGTCAGGTGATGCAGAAAGTGGGCTCTCTTTCTGTATGAAATTTTGTTTTATTTTCTCTCATTAGTGCAAATGTTTTTTTTTTTATTTACATATTTTGCATGCACAGAATTTGGCAGTAAGTAACACTGAGATTTATTATATGGACGATCATTCAAATTCAGATGGAGAGTTTGGGAGGAGTTCTCAATATTCCAAGACTGTATTTTAGTCCGCTGCTGAAAAGTATGCAACCCCACCCAAAAAACCCAGTATTTTCACAGTTAGCATACAGGAGGAAGAAAGGTTGGTTTTGCTACTCTGAGTATTTCTACTTTTCTCACAGGCTAACAAGCTTCCAATTACTTCCTAATGTCTCTATCAAGGCTTTAAAATCTCTGTTCCTTTTTAGTCACAGCATACAGGCATCACAGTTTATCATAATATGCTTTCACTGAGTTATGGCGAATAACCTCCTCTCAGGAGCAGGGTAAGAGCAGGCACCGAGCACAGTTGATGGGTGCTACCCTGGCCAGGATTTCACCTGTAGACTCTCCCTGGCCCTGCTTCCTTCTGTGCATCTCAAACCAGTACTTATTAATGCATGGCTGATTTGATACCAAAGGACTAGCCAGAAATAATCTGCAATATCAATTCATTACAGCAAGATTGTCTGCTAATAAGGAGCTATTTTTTGCTACATAATGTGCAAAAATCAGCTGTATCTTCACTTAGAAAAAACCAAAAGCAAAAAACCGAAAAGAAATGCCTTTCAAGCTTGCTACCAAATATAAACATTAAGAACACAAGATGTGATGTTGAGGGCTTCATAAACTCACTAAAGCAAAAAATCAGCTCTTTTCATCAGGCTATTATTCAAATGTTACCATGCAGTCTACCATATCTTTATCTACAAAAAAAAGCAAGCTAGTAATGAGAAAAATATCCCCACCACTATCTCCAGAGTCACCACAAAGTAATGACAGAATAAATTCTCTGGGGGCTCTTTCGATTTTCTCCTGTTTAAGAAAGTAGCATGGAAAACGAAGATAAACTCATGACCAACTGCAGCAACACAACAGCGATATTCCAAACCATATGGAAGAGGGTGTCTCTATATTAAAAGAACCAAAGTGGCCTACAAAAAGAGATCCATGCATGAAAGTTAATTTTTATTTTGCAGGATTTCACAGCTAATTGCTCATCCAGTAAGCTCTTACTGAATCTAGATCAGTCTTCTTACTGGAAAGAAATTTTTCCTCTTCATGACACAGAGATGCACTTCTTCATGCAAATGCTGGTGTCATTAGCACTGAACCACCATGAGATTTTGGTAATACCATCAAAATGTTCCCTCTTGCAAATCAAGGACTAAATGTTTTGCTCAAACTTTAAACTCTCCAAGGAATTCTATGTTTTCACCTGTAAATATTCAATGCTTATGATGAAAGAGTGGATACACTGAAAAGGAACAGCAAAGTGATTTACATTCAGTGCAACGGCAAAGGCATGGAAACACACTGGTTTCTGGACCCTTCCCTTCTGTGGTGCTCTTCTGGGGGACCGAGGTCCAGGAGATGACAAAGCTCTCCTTTACAGATACCACCAGCACTCAGAGGGAGACTGCCTTACCAATGAGCCAGGCCAATCTTGAAGAGGAATGACCGTTAAATTGCATTTAGTTCAACGAGGAACTCTGGGGCCTGGGAACACGTTTCTCTGAACAACGCAGGATGATGCATTAGAGCAATTATTTTTTGCTCCCGACTAGGCAATGCAGTGCCAGAACCTGCACCAGTTAGTGACTGTTAATGAAGCCGCACTGCAAACTGGCAAACATAAGGGAAAGAAATGCAAATACAAGCTGTTGTTCCTGCTATTGCTGTCATCAATTCTCCTATTGGCCTTGGGCCAAGCCAGTCAAGGATGCTCACATGCAACAGCATAGTAATAGCCCAGGAGATCCCCATTTAAAGACTAAGGTCATAAATTCACAAAAGAAGGTTTTTGCTTTACTCCATGGTCAGTGGAGACAAAGTGTCAGAGATGAGACTAGCTCCACTTTGAACTCAGGTTCAGCCTCAGATTTTGTCCAAGGACATTTAGAGACAGCTGAAGTGGCCAACATCTGTCGTAACTGCACAGACATTAAGTGAAACCCCGGTAAAACCCTGGCAGAGAGAGCAGCAAAGCTCTGATCCAACATTCACAATGGGCTTTTGGGTTGGATTCACTTTTCTTTTACATCTGTGCTGCTCTGCATGGCACAAACTCCATGCTATCCATTTGAAACTAGCAACACTATGTGCAAGACTGTTCATGCACCACATTCTGTCAGTATTATATCTGATTCACCATTATTACTTGATAACATTTTGTCCACACAATTAGAGTTTTGTTTCATCTCCTACATGCTTCAAAAAAAAAGCACTAGAAGAAAATTCTCTATTGACTTTTCTGCATACGATTTCTCCCCCATCACTGGGCTGCCAGTGAGTGTAGCCTTTGGCAGCATGAACTGAAAATTAAAATGAATTAGGGTCTTATTTACCTTTACAAGCATTTTTCCATGCTTCCATCCTAGTAGGAGAAGCTAGTGGTCATGCAGAGGAAAACGCCAATATTTGTTGGTTACATGGTGTAATAGAAAGAAAACCAGCACAGATCAACTCAGAAAAGAAGGGCAAATGTTCATGAGAAGTAAACAAAAATTACCAGAGTGTTTCTGAGGGAACTGACGTAACATCCAGGCTCTCTGGCTGTTTCTCTAGTTTTACACCAGAATATCCCCACTGAAATCACTGGTCATGTGTAAGCTTAAAGCTCTAGTACTGAAAAGTCCATCAGACCCCAACATAGACTAAAGGTCTCTCCTAGAAAAGGTGCGTTTGATTTTAGAATGAAATATTTGCATTTTTTAAATAAACCATCAGCTTCAAGCTTTCTGCACACGTACACCTTAAACCCTGCCTGGAAAATATGGCTGATACATAGATCTTCAGAAAGGAGTTTGTCCTTTCTCTGTAACTCAAAACGGACCTTTTATTAAAATGACATTTTGCAGCTCACTAGACTGTGCGGCTCTTTGGGGAAAAGCAAAGCAGAAAACAGTCCAGTTGTTTGGTTTAGCAATGAAGTTTCCCGCACATGCATGCTAATTTATTTCATTGAAAATGTCCCAACTAATTGCAACATTTACCCTTAGAGCACATGCATGGCGGTCGCATTAATACACCAGAAGACAATGGCTCCAAAGGAGCTATTACCATGTACCAGGCCAATAATCCACAAACGGTAAAGGATTTTCACAAAAGACTCAAATGGTTTCCAAGGAGCCATTATGGCATATCAGGTAAATAAAATATTATTGAAATGTATTTTTTGCATTTAAATCACTTGCAGCAGGTGCATAGGAAGTAGCATATAATAAAATGGTTCACGTTCCCTTGAATACTAATGAGAAACAACGGAAACGTTTAGTAAAAAGAAGCAGCAGCAAGTTCTTACCATCGCAAGAGGAACAATTCCCACAAACATTGTTCGGCTGACAAAGATCTCGGAGACCACCAGTTCGCTCACGGAGTCATCTCGAGGGTATTCCACTTGCCAGGTAATTTGCTGGGCCCCTGCCAGGCTGCTAGTGTTGTCAATCTCAAAGTCCATCTGCAGGATCTCATAGGAGGACATGTTTGCTCTGAAAAAAAAACCAAAAGTGCCCACAAGATCAATAGGATGTGAATAACAAAATATATTCCAATTTCTCTTTTCCATTCACCAGATTTACCACTGAATTCAACATGCAGACTTGAAGACACCGACAGAAACCTAAATCAAACTCACCCTGGGCAATAGCTATACTTTATAGATAAGGTGACACTATATCTTTCACTTTCCTGAGATGGAGGCATTTTTCCCATTAAACTCAGGCATTCATTCTCAGTAATCACAATGAACTTACAGAATAAGTCCCAAACCCTGGGAACTGCATTGCACAGATGTTGCTATATTATTTAATACAGGATTATTATAATTTTGCTGCTGAAAATACTGATGCTCCAAAACAACAGAATACTTGGCCGTTCCTCATGCTATATCAGAAATGAGCTCTTCAGGGTGGGGGAGGGAAGTCTTTCAAACTCAAACTTGTCTTTATCTCAGTGAAAAAATGGATTTTCAGAATTACACATGACAAAAAATAGGGGGTAGATTATCATTATTTTCAATTCATGAAAACATTCTTCTCGTCAGTAGTGCAGACTTCTAATTATATGGTGATCATTAAATATTTCTCATCTGGAAATAAAATTTTAAAGGTAAAGAAATGGCTGTAAATGCATAGCATTCAGAACTGTATTTAGAAATTACTTCTGCTTCTTTTAGCACTCTCCTCTGGTCCAACACTATGTAAATATTAATAATTAATCCTCAGGTTAGAAAGACAGATCTTATCTTCATGTTACAGAGAAGAAAACAGACACCAAGATTTAACCAACAGCACTCGGTATACCCACAGCAGGGACCTATTTAGAAAACAGACCTTTGCTCATCCAGCACTTTACTTCCACAAAAACTAAGGTACTTTACAAAGCAGGATACAATTTCCTGCCCCAGTTTCCCAGACAGACACCTGCAGTGTGGAGACCTGATGCAGCTTACAAAACACAGAGGCGGGATGGAAAGGCAGCTAACCTGACTGCAGACCCAGCTGCCTAATCGTATTCCATTGAAGAGACCACCGATTTTACCAATATTACTGAAGTTTCAGGGTATGTGTTCATAAAATAGGTTAAAATCCCAATTTGCAGCATGTTAGGCCATTCTGTAACGAGTTGAATGTGCTCTTATTGCGAGCATGAGATAGCTTGTTCCCAACCTAGGGATGTGTCCTGTGCATGCAGGCACCCCTCAGTATCGACCCTCCCTCTGTAATTTCATCCTCCGTCCCATCCCACGGTATGTTATTTGTGTGCCCTTATCCTAAAGTAGTGACTCCCAAGAGCTGTGTTCATAGAAAGTTTTAGCCTGCTGCTGCAAACAACAGAGACTTAAAACATCCTTTTCCTCTTCCCAACTGCACAGAGGCAAAATCTGTTTTTGCCATATGTTTTTGAAGGCTCATTGTAAAGGAAAAAAATCTGAACAGGAATTATTGATTTTCATGTTTTCTTTCTGACAACAAACAACACAAACATATGCTTCAATGCCTGGAGGATAAATATTTTCCATGCTGACAGAAGATAATATCCACCTCCAGGCAAAACTAGAAGCTATTAAGGCATCTTTTGGGTGGCCAACCAGACAATCAGCAAAAATCTTTTAAGACAAATCCTATTACACAATACTAGGGATGTAATTAAACCACTTCTGTTAAAAACATAACCACTGTGGGCACCACAATGGGGTACTTAACTTCATAGTTTTCTGTGTATCACTTCTGGCAGTTTGTTTTATCTAAATTACATAAAATTAATTTGCTCACAACACAGAAATAAAATTTAGAGGTGAGCTCTACTCTAACTACGGATCTAGATATTGGGCCTGTCAGGGAACGTTTAGATCTGCAATTTCGGTTCAATCTGTTCAAGTTGATAGTTGCCACTCACAAAAACACCCACAAGTGGTTTCAAATTTGGAACAAAACCACTGGTGGAGGGTTTTGCTTTAGATTCACCGCATAAATAGTATGTCAGGTTAGTCTGCACTGATAAATCATTCCACGTGGCCCACTGACTGGCACTTCTTTGAGCTTGGTCCATCATGCCTTCAGTTATTCCTCTCCTGTTTTCTTTTCTACACATCCAAAAAGTAACCATAATAGCGGTTTTATATTTTTAAGACAGACTGGGATTCAGATCTCCCCAAGAAAAGCATGTGTGTGTCTTGCCTATATAGCAAGCTGAAGTAATAGCCAGGGAGTAAAACGACTCTTGTGCCTGTAAATATGCAAAGACCTTCACCGCATCCTTAGCGCAGCTGTATAGTTATAAAAGACATAAGTTTCATTTAAAGACAGACATGGTTATACGCTGCTGGATTAGAAATGAGTCTCTGTGCATCTAGAAAAGAGCAGCAACTCACATACATAAATCTTCCTCAGATCAAACTAATATTAACATATGAACTGAAGCGAAGCTGACTTCCCAGGTCTCCCAGGACTCAGGACTTCCTAGGTCCTGGTTCCAAAGAGAATCCTTATCATCAGCTGCAAGAACAACATGGCTTGTCAAACGTTTTCTGCTTTGTCTCAGAAGCAAATCATGTAGCATGACATATTAATATTGATTAAAAAAGGATCCACTTCTTTTCATTTGAACTTTTGCTGAAGCAGATGGACATACTGTATCTAATCATCTTTTACTTACGGAGTTTCTCCAGTGAGCGTATAGCTTTAGCAAACCAGAATTCAACTTTCTGGACTCCTTTATTCACCAGCAGGTTTCCATTTACCTTCGGAACAGCAGGTCAATGAATTTTCTCTGAAATTATGGTCTCCCTTTCTTCCTCTTTAGGACAAAGATTCAGCCTTCAAGCAATGCCAAGTGTTACAGTATCTGGGACACAGAGTACTCCAGGGACTAATCCACCCTTGTTGTTCTGAGTCTCTTCCCAGGTTACAACTATAACGAACCATGATAAAACCTGAAAAGTGAATTTCTTTCTTGCTCAGACTAGTGCCTTCCTACTGGCTGCTGCATCTCTTTATCCTATGGGGGCTTCTTTCCTAGTGGGACGATCAGTACTATATTCATAATTCTTGCCATTCATTAACCATCCTCTGTAATACCGTGTGGGAGACTACTGCCTTTTTCTGCTGAAATTGATGGAGGTTGCTAAAGTAAAACCAGAGATAAAATAAACCATAATCAAGACCTTAAAGGTTAGCATTTACTTATGTCAGCACCATTAGCTGATAAATCCACAACGCAACACCTGTATCTAAATTTCTGTCCTGGCTATGCAGCATTACACTATAACCCCTTTTAAAAGGAGATTTTCCAGCCTGCCATGGCAAAACTTCAGCTTTTAGTCTGATTTGTAGCTGGTGGCCAATATGTCGGTCCTTGTAGTCACTGTCAATCTGCAACTGCCTGGTGAAGACAAAACGCTACCAGTGGGAAAATCCACCAGCAGAGAAGACGACGACTGTAACTCATGCTGTTATCAGCCATTAAATCCCACTAAAACAAACTTTATCCTATAAAGATTTTTCAGCTTTTTCTTGAGGCTTATTCCATTTTTCTCTTAAATAAGTTTGCACTATTGGGAAGAGTTTGATGGAATCCAAGGACTATAAATCACTTCTCCTTTCCACATCTTTCTTCTCTTTTTAGTTAAGTATTTCTATTGTCCAGTGAAGTCTTTTCCCAGTTTAGAAGGATTTTGCCAAACCCTAGTTTAGAGGAGCAATAAAAAATAAAAAGTCAAAATTACTTTTATAAAAAAAGATTATTTCCTGCAAGCACAAGGAAAAGACCTTATAATTTTAGGCAGCTGGCATGCTTGCTAATAAGTCCATTTCTATGGAAATGAGTTCATAACTATTAATTTTGCCTGCTCCTGATCTATTCTTGATGAGCCTTTCAAATTTAGAAAAGCGCTTCATGATTCTCTCAATTTGGTAATTACTAACTCCCTTTGATGAATCCAGCCCAGTGTTTCAGACATGAGACATTCATTACACATTTTTCTTTCTGGTGAGAGGAGAAAAAGAAACCATGGGCTTGGATTTATTTCCTCTCACAAACTCCAGTAAGTAGGCCCTCTTCTTCAACTTGCAATTTATAATCCTATTTGTGTACTTTCACAAACCTGCCTCTGCTATGTACTAGAAGAACCGCCAAACCCTTGAGATTTCTGCACAATGTCCTGTTGTCTAGCCTCATATATATAGAATGCATTCAAATCAGGTCCCCAACAGCCCAGTCAAGCTTTGTAACATATACAGACTTCGCTCTGCACCCAGCAGTTAGTAGGCATGGTTGTAATCCCAACCTGGAACAGAGTTTTAGCACAGAATGGTAAATCCATGCCAAACAAAGCCAAGTCTAGCTCCAACCAACTCCAGAATAAGAAGAGTTAATCAGGACAGGAAAACTTTGCTAAGTCCCAGAACTTTCCTGCATTGGACACATCCAGGTGGGCAGCCATAGGCATGCAGAGCCCTACTGCCTTGCTCAGCTTGTCAAATTGAACCTGAAGTATTTCTTCTGGGTGTACATTAAGCCATAAAGGAGCGAGCACTCCACCCAGAGGCAGAGCCTCTCCTCAGTTAAGAAAACTCTCCCAGTGGAACAAATCACAGGCTGCACAAACCATCATAAAAATAAGGCTTAGGTTTCAAGCGCTCCCAAACATCTTAGAGAACTCTTGCATTACTGCATTTGGTTGCTTTGTAAAGATTCACCCTGTATTGGAGGGCTATCTATCATCCTACCTGGCTACATACATTCTGATTGATTTTCTTCCTGAATTCGCTAGTGTATGCGAACAGCAGGAAAAAAAAAAAAACCAAAACACTTTGAATCTAAAAAAAAAAATCCAATAACAGATTTTGTTTCTCTACGTTTATTACCTTATGAAGTATTATATGGAACTGCATAGGTGTTGTTTGGGGTTTTT